AATCTGAGGACAGAGGTTAATCATACGGAACATTGGACATTGGAGGTATTGAAAATTTATAAGGTAGGAGTTGTTTGATCCACAATTTCCTTCCAAATTGACACCACGAAAAACACGGATGATCAACGTCAACGCCAACTAAATAGAATACCTTCAAAAATCACCAAAAAGACTAAATAAAAGTATATTTGACGAATAAAATATAAACACCCCAAAAGTGTGCGTGAGGACCGGTCCGTGTAAGCGTGATCACTCTTTTCCTTTCTCTCCCTCTCCTCGCACTCCGCCGAGGGTGTGTGTGTGAGGGTGTGTGTGTGAGTGTGTGTGTGTGTTGTGTGTGTGCATGGTGCAAACTAATATGTAAATAATGGTAAATGTTTAACAAGGTGGTTGCAGGAATCCTGTAAGCAAACTAAGATTAACTGTGTTGTCACGGCTTTGTATATGGTGCCTAAAAAAGTTGGGAGAATTGTGACACAAAACAGATTGTTGGTGGGGTTGGACTTTTTGATTGTGTGCGTAAGGTTGTTGGTGAAGCAGAATTTGGTGTTGGTACAGTAGTCTGAGAAAGGTTGAGCAAAGACGCAGTTAAGAGTGTGTAAGCTGAGGCAGTTGTGTGTTGTGTAGTAGGGTGTGGCATAGACAGAGAGCAGGAGAAGTTGACAGTCCGAGAGTCAGACTGAGACTGAGAGAAGTAGGAAGTAAAAGAGGAAGTGAGGTCAATTCCACTCTCACTCAGCCCCGAACGAGCCCCCACCTTTGCGTGAGCCAAAAACAAAGCCCTCACTCGGTGAGGAGCCCCCACCTTCGTGAGAGCTCCCCCGCCCTTCTCTCCCCTAAAAGTTCTGAGACCTGGCGAGCCGCAAGCTGAATATTAAAGCTATCGTACCTGCAGTACAAATATATAAACATTTTGTGCATTTTAAAACACTCATAGCATTATTTTACAAATATATAAACATTGGGTAAACCTGTGACAGAATTCGTTTTGGGGGACAAGGGACCATGGTTCTGCGAACTTCACATGGGATAAGGACACTCTGTGGCCACAAAAAGAAAAAGGTAGGAGATTTCCTAAAATTTGGTTGAGAGTTCTTTTCCCTGTGGGGTGGTGCGGACTACTGCTCTCTGTCCTCTTCGAATCAGTTGGTTGTGTCAGACCGCCTCACGCTGCTACATGCGTGAGACTATGTGAAGATAGTAGACTGGGTGCAGAAGCACTTCGTCTCCTTCAGAGTGTGAGATTGCCTCACGCTGCTATAGGTGTGAGTTTGGCATATGTGGAGCTATAGGCTGGGTGCAGGAAAGCACTGGCCAGTAGCGTGGGGAGACAGCCGGGCCCGGGTTGTGATGTGTTTTCTAGGCTGAATGCCTGGTGATAAAAGGTTCTGGGTAATTTTTGGGATAACAAGGGGAGTGGCAGGCACGAGTGTGTCTGTCCATTGTTGAACTGTGAGTTTGGGCAATTTTTTGTTTTATGAGCTCTGACAGATACAGATTGGCTTGATGAGCAGGAGATAGAAAAAGAGGTCAATAAGGATAGGCCGAAAAGCCTATTCAGGGATCCCAATTGAACAAGCACGTCCCATATCTCCTGACCAATTGCAGAAGAAATCACACAAATTGGAAAAAACTGAAGTAATCAAAACAAGAATTAAAATAGAAGACTGCTGACTGACTCCAGTGACTGACTTTGACTTCAAACACGTGTGAAAGGGTATACCATTGTGTGATGAAAAAGTGAAGTGTGTGGGTTGATTGGATGTTTGTGTGTGTCTGTTTTGTTCTGTGTCAACTAAGTTCTCTGGCAGTGTTCACAGCCAGACTCTGCATCTGTGTGTGTGTTATGTTAGTCAAAGATTGCTGTGTTTTCCTCACTTGTGTTTATTTCATATTTGTTTATGTGAATACTGTGCTCATTGCGGTCATGTTATCAGTTGAGACATAGAAGGTTAAATACTCCTGGGAAAGAGGTTCTGTTCCTAGTACCATGATGAACACTCCTGATATGAAGGTTTTAGCTTATGCTTAAATATTATGATGGTTTTTTGTTGTGAACACACCTCTTATGCTACTTAACAAATTTTCTGTGTTAAAGCTGCAGAACAAATGTTTGTGAAAGTATAAAAGATACAAAAGGGGGAAAAAGCAATGAGGTACCACAAGTGCAAAACTTCTAAAACTTCAAATCTAAGAGTTGCTTCTATACATCTGCTGTTTTTGCCAAAATACTGTGTTTTTAAAATATTATTGAAGCTGTTAATATCAATACTGACTATTGCTATAGAACTGCAGTTGAGGCAAAAGCTTTATACTGTGTATTTTTTGGGAATTTTACAAAACTGCTGATCAAGTTTTAATGTGTGTGCTCATTTGAATAATACATTTTACAAAAAGCATGACCAGAAAGGGAAGATAAGATACACATTGGTAGGGTGTAAATATACTGAACCAAAAACTTACAGAGAAATGGGAACATTGAATCAAGGGGTTTGAATTTTTATGACCTAGGGGAGGCACATCTGATGTGGCTGTGTGTGAGGATTTGGAGCAGCGAATCTAAGACCATAAACATAAAGATAAAAGTAAAACACGCAAAAACAAGAGATATGGAACTAAAAGTACCGGACATGTTCAACTTAGCACTTAGATTTTTGTCATTTTTATACTTTAGAGTCCAAGTTTAGATTTTAAGTCATACTGGGACCTTTTTGAACCTGATTTCAACGTTCTTCTTGTGTATTTGCTTGTTAAATGCATTACTTTTCTCTTTTTAAATCATGCTCTGATCTTTTGAACTAATAAATAAGAATAGGATAAAAACAAAAATTTTTCTATCTTAGGTTGCCTTTAAACTTATTATTTATTTAGTATTATTATTATTTTATCTCTTTTGAATTTCCAAATGATTTAAGATCATTGCTATTTTTTTCCCATATGTTTTGAAAAGGAAATTGACAGTTTTAGTGAAATTTTGATTTTGACACCCCTGGCCTAGATTATGTTCGCTTGGAAATGCACTGATAGTATGTTTTCAATCTTAATAAATGGCACACAGGCAAGCTATGTGCTGTGGAAAACCACACACCTTGTTGGGCTGATTGCCGGACTACCACAAACTGAACAGGGGGCAGGGAGATGGATACGAGTTTTTGAGGATGAACTGTAGGAAAATGTTGACTACACCAGACATGAAAGCACTCTTGGCTAAACTGCTGGGAACTAAGACGATGGAGGAGTTTCTGCGCAAGGCAAAACAAGGTTGAATGACGAATCCCATGATAGATGGGAATGAGTTCAATGCATATTGTGATGTGATGTGGAGGGTGCTGCCAGATGAAGAGCGGAGACCGAAAGAACAGGAAAAGAACAGTCAGCGGAAGTTGAAACAGCCACCTCTAAGGAAGACACTGCAAAAGAGACCCAGCGATGCAGACCGTGCAGATGCTAACTGTGGTAAAACCTGTGACAGTAACCTGTTTAATCACCTGTTGTGAATGTTTATCCTAAGACAGAACCCTGCTCCATAGAGAGGATATATCCCGGCAGGGGGAGAGAGTGGAATTCTGACGGACGAGTGAAGTCTATAGACCTGCTGGGGATGTGATCATACCGGACATTTTTGACAACTGCCCAGACCAGGGACGTTTCCGGCTGGATCTGTGGTGGGGGGCCCCAGCCCAGACAATGTGAAAGTGGTGGCTCACTACAGTGTGATTTTTGTGGATGATGGAAAAAGTTAATTGTTAGTTTTAATTTTAACCCTGTTGACCTTATAGACCAAAGAGCCCTATGTAGAAGTAACATTCTAATTTGGTGCTCACCGCAAGGTGTGTAAGTAGACAGTTATGGTTTATAGTTTTAAGTAAATATCGTGACATTAGCATTGTAACATTCCTGTTCTGTTAGTTTAATACTGATAAATCTAAATGCAGCTGTGCTGAATCCGCATACACTCCCCACAGATGTGCCACCTAATGTAAAAGTAATAGGAAGCTATCAAAGGGCAATAAGGCCACAGAAAATGGTTTAGAGTCAAATAACTATTTTTTGTACCAGTAGTATTAACAAACAAACTTCGGATCTGACTTTCACAGTGATTCACACTGTGAAAGGGGGGAGATGATGAGACAATTAAAACGACATTTTTAGAATATGCTGACGAGAGCTGATAAACTCTTGGGTCATTGTGATATGTGTTTTGTTAGATGAATTGAAGAGAACAATAAAACAGTAGTGGGACACTTTTCCAGTTCCAGAGAGACGTTTTTAGAAATCTATTCATAGACAATGTGGACATGATTAAAACTGCCAAGGGATATGTTACATGTTTGTAATGATGACGGGTTCAGTCGATGGATAGAAGCAACACCATCAAAAGATCTTGGAGTCAAAATAAATCTGTCACTGCATGAATTGGTACATCATTTTGGGGAAGAAAGTTGATCTCTCAAGTAAATATCAGATCAGAGAATTTGCACTAACACTAACTTATAGGAAGATGCTTTGCTACTTGCGCTTATGAGCTTTCACAATCAAAAGCACTGGGATAAATCTTTCACTGCATGGATTGACTAACTTACAAAGCTATGCTTTACTGCGGCTAAATAATTAAGTTTTCGCTTGAGCAGCTGAAAATTAGTGAATTAAATATATGAGGCAGCTAACTACGATGCAAAGATCTATCGATTAGCAGGAGGAGGGCCAAAATCTGATCCCAGTCAAGAGGTGGAGGCCAGTCGAGCCAGAGGACCAGGTGTACATCACCGTCCTTTGAGGAGGGTGGCAAGAGAACGAGGAGAAGACCTGAACACTTTGGTCCTGGTGAACTCTACTTCAGTGCAGGAAGTGGCACGAACCACGACGGGAGGGACCGTACACGGTGGTGCGAGCTACTCCCACAGCAGTCCAGGTCGAAGGGAGCGGGACGTGGTATCACCTGTCACACTGCACGAAGGTTCCAGGCAAAACCAAGGGCGGTATTGAGTTGAAAAACAAAGATGAAAAACATGACATTGTGGTGTGTGCTGGTGGTAATGAACTCTCTTCTATGGATGCCAGTAGAAGCAGTGGAGCTAGAGGCTCAAAGGGGAAAACAGAGCACCCCGGGGACCAGAGCCACGCCAGAGGCCAACCCGCACGACAGAGGAGACAGAGCATTTGAATCAGATGAGTATGATGCAACCACACAGACACCAATCCATGACGTTCTAAACTCTGAGCCAGCACTCTCAGCTGAGTTCAAACATATAAACATTCCGTACCAAGTGGTGTATGGACGAACACGGGGTAAAAGAGCTATACACAAAATGTGGCGGTGGCGTGCTAGCATGAACATACCCGAAATCATGCAAAACAGAAGCATAACATACGGGGTAATGGTCATGTCACGAGAGTATGTGCGAACCAAATGTGTGGTGTTCGGTGTAGGCTTCTGTATGGGTCGGGATCTCATCATGGGTATTCAGAAACGTGCGTAGACTGTAAATTTCGCCAGACATGTGAAGAATTCGCCACCACAACGTCACAAGACGAGCCCCCTACAAACTACAAGGTAGACGAAACGGATAATTACGAGTGTTTCGCCAGTGGAGGGTTTATGAATAAACCAGGGGAAGGAGTCCAGGTGGGAAACACAACTGTTAATTGTAGAATTACGTGGGTATTGTCATGGTTTCCTGAAGCTAGTATGAGCGAACCATTTATAACTAGACCTGTTTGGTTTAAAAATCCAGAGCAAACGTTAGATCAAACATGTGAAAACATAACTATGACCAGACCGAGTATGCATTTTTTCGCAAGTCAAACTGTTGCAGTAGCTGACAGTTACTGGATGTGTGGAGACAACATTGTGCGAAACACACTTCCACCAAAATGGATTGGACTCTGTACATTAGTGCGAATGAAAGTGTCAGTTGTCGTGTTGTATGATGGCGCCGAGGAGATCCTTAAAATCCAGGAAGAAACAGCCAAATTGAACCGACACAAAAGGCAGATTGACGAAAAGGTGTACATCAATAGTATAGGAGTGCCAATAGGAATTCCAGAGGAGTTTAAAGCTCAGGATGAGATTAGAGCAGGTCTAGAGTCGATTCTCCCCTGGATCACCACTAATAAAAATGTCCAATGGATAAATTACATTTATTACAACCAGTAGAGGTTTGTTAATGCGACATCTGAAATCCTGAGCGCTCTCGGTATTCAATTACACGCAGCAAGTATAATGGCCCAACAAAATAGACAGGTTTTGAATTGGCTGACAGCGGATAGGGGAGGAGTATGTCACATGTTCGGAAAACATTGTTGTACCTTTATTCCAAATAACACAGCCTCTGATGGTATATTTTCTGTGGCAATGGGGAAGCTTACAGAACTCAGAGTTGAGCTCAGGGAGAGTGCGGGCAAGGGGGGACTGTCATGGGATTGGTTTGACCAAATTTTAGGAAAATGGGGAGCCGTTTGGGCTAAGATAGGACTCAGTGCACTAGCAGTCCTAATTGTAATTTCCTTTTTGATATGTTGCATCATCCCCATCCTGAGGAGGCAGTGTCTGCGGGCTCTGGAAAAACAGATGACTGTGGTGACTGGTCTCCAAAGAGCTCAAATGTTGAACTTGCTGACGCCGTCCCAAATGGCACAACTCTGCTTGGATGACAGCAGGGCAGGAAACGGGGACTATCCGGACTTATACCCAAACCCTGCCCGTGTGGGTGACTCTGATGAGGACGAACAGAGTCAAGTGTAAGGTAAACAAGAAGCAGAGGTGCAGCAGCAGCAAGCAAGCAAAAGGAAAAGCAAACGGGACGGCGGAGCAAATGGACTATCACATCAATACACACATATTCTGTTGTTATCCATGTGTATTCTGCATACTCACATCATTTACACATACTCATTCCAGGTATATGGAAACAGGTAAAGGAAATGGTTAATCATTTTTGAGCAAAATAAAACATGTGGTTGATTGTCATGTAGAGTGGGTCAGTAAAAAGCTGTTAGATTTATAAGGTTCACGGTGAAGGTCGCCAGCGGGAGGGGCCGTAGGGGAATTTCCTGCTCAAAGCAGCCAGCAGGTTTTCGCCCCTGCCAGATGTGAACCAAGTCACAAGTGGTTTAAGTGTTGTGTTTATGAAAATGTAACATTCGTGATAACAAGCATGAGTTGGATTGGTTTGAGAACGTACATATGCATCTGTAATCAATCTAGTAGTATCATATCACATAACGTTGTCATAACTCATTCATGTAATGTAACTAAGGCTAAGACAAGATAAGTGTGAATCTCCAACGACGTCATTGAACTTGTTTAATCTTGAAAAGATTCAAAGGGGGGATATGTGGGGGAAAATAACAGATGTGGTTGGATGTTTTGGAGGTTGCTATGAAGCAAGAAAACAGGACTGCAACACAGTCATGGTGAACTGTGTTGCAATAACATAAACTTTATCAGGTTGGGATAAACTGTGTTGCAATGACATGAACTTTATCGGGTCATGGTGAATTGTGTTGCAATAACAGGAATTTGGCCCCAGACATAGTGGCAAGGGAGAAGTCACGTAGGGAGCTCTCCCATGGGAAAGTGATACACACACGGAGGTAGCTTCGCACACACATTTGGCAAAAGCTGAGATCAGTGACGTCAATGGAGTACTATAAGAGATCTGTGGTTTTTCCTGTTCGGGGTTCTGTCTGTTCGACTGTTCATGAGCTATGTTTTGATGCTGTGACCAGAATAAAATCCCGTGAGAGGCTGCCAGCTTGATTCTGTCTTCGTGTAGTTCATTCCTGCATTTTTGCACCGAGATCATCTTCTAAAATAGAAAAAGAGGTCAATACGGATAGGCTGAAAAGCCTATTCAGGGATCCCAATTGAACAAGCACGTCCCATATCTCCTGACCAATTGTAGAAGAATCACACAAATTGAAAAAATCATGTGAGGACTGGTCCCCAGTCCTCCAGTTTTGCTCCTCTTTGCCCTCCCCTCTCGGGCTGTCTTCCCCCCTTTATCCACTTCGCCTGAGCGGCGCTGTAGGCTGCTCAGGATCCCTCTCTTCACTTCCTGCATGGGTGGCACCGCGGGAGCTGATCACCTGCTGGAGACCTCACCTGCTGCTAATTCCGGTCTGATTACCTGCCTACAAGAGCCCAGGGAGGAATCTTCTCAGTGCCGGCTGATTGCCTGACTAAGTGGTTCGTTCACTACGTTTGTGCTGGCCTTCAGCCTCTTCTCCCCTCACGGAGATTATCTGGTGCTTCATTTTTTGATGACTGTTGTGGATTCATGCTCGTTTTACCCCTGGACTAACTCCTTCTCTCTTTCTCGTTTTTTCCAGGTCTCCACGAGCTCCCGCCACCACCAACATCATTGCTTTGTTCACTTTTTACTCACATGTAAATAAAAATCACTGTTTGTTGAAATCCTGATCTGATTCAGCCTCTGCTCTGGGTCCACCTATTCACAACACCTAACAGAATCAGCCGGCCTCGTTATGGAGTCCGCGAGGTTGGATCAAATCAAGGACGCTCTGGTGTCACATGGAACACTTTTGGGACAACATGATTCGCTTCTCAAGGGAGTGACTGGAACTTTGGAGGAGATGACTCGCCAAATGCAACAGATTAGCGCTCAGCTGATTGAGGCCAGAGGCCCCCCTGCTACTGCGGTGAGTGCCGCGCCGGCTTCTCCCCCTGCCGCTCTCTCTCCAGACTCGGTTCATTTTAAAGAACCGTTTGTTTCACACCCTGAGCCATTTTCGGGTGATTTTGGGTCCTGTAGCCGTTTTTTGTTTAATTGTAGCCTTGTGTTTAAGCTCCAGCCCTACAGTTATGCCTCCGATGAGGCCAAAATTGCTTATACCATTAATCTCCTTAGGGGTAAAGCCGCAAAGTGGGCCACAGCCTTATGGGAGGGGGGATCCAGTGTTCTTAATTCATTTGAGACATTTTCTGCCCAACTACGTAGGGTTTTTGATCACCCGGTTCTGGGGCAAGATGCTGCTAAACAGCTCCTGGCATTATCTCAGGGGGGTCAATCGGTGGCTAGCTTTGCGGTCGATTTCCAAATTTTGGCTGGGAGGTGTGGTTGGGACGAGGCTGCATTAAAGGCGTTATTTGTCAAGGGGCTTTCGGAGGAATTGAAGGATGAATTGGCAACTAGGGATGAGCCAGACTCACTACAGGAACTGTTTGATCTAGCGATTAAAATAGACGGTAGATTGAGAGAGAGAGACAGGGAGAGGGCTGCTAGTGCTCCCCGTCAGACTCCCCCTTCTGGTCATGTGGTTTCCACTGCTCGCCCTACTCTAGGCCAACTTACTCCACCTGCACCTACGCCACCTGCTACTGCTCCCCCTGCTGACTCGGAGGAGCCCATGCAGCTGGGCAAGACTCGGCTGAGTCTAAGGGAGAGAAGAAGACGGAGAGTGGAGAATCTCTGCCTTTACTGTGGAGGAGCGGAGCATTCCCTTCAGTCCTGCCCCCTTCTGTTAAAAGACAGGACTCATCATTAAGCAAGGGCGTAATGGTGAGTCGGCTATCAACCCCCAGAAGCCCTTCTTCCAGGTCCACGTTTCCTGCCTCTCTTAGTTTTTCCTCCTCCGTTACTAAGACTTCAGTTTTTCTTGACTCTGGCGCGGATGATAATTTTATTGATGAGGCCTTTGTTAAAGCTCACAATATTCCCACCAACTCGCTTTCTCAGGCTAAACAGGTTCTGGCATTGGACGGTCGAGTCATTTCGGAGGTTAAATTTGAGACAGTTCACCTCACCTTACTACTTTCCGGTAATCATTCCTAGAAAATTAAGTTTTTTGTCATTTCGTCTCCCTGTTCCCCAGTTATTCTCGGGCTGCCTTGGTTTAAACTGCATAGTCCTCACATTAACTGAGTCACGACCTCTATTGTCAGTTGGAGCACTCATTGTCACTCTTTTTGTTTGCAGTCGGCAGTCGTTAACCCTCCTTCGGTTACACCGGCACCTCCTGATCTTTCTTCGGTACCCTCTTGCTATCATGACTTAGCACAGGTATCTAGTAAAGATCTGGCTAAGACACTGCCTCCGCACCGTCCTTACGACTGCGCGATTAACCTGCTCCCTGGCGCCCCCTTACCTTCTGGCCGACTTTACAACCTGTCTCGTTCAGAGAAGGATTCCATGCAGACTTACATTTCCGAGTCGTTGGCTTCCGGGTTAATTCGGCCTTCTTCGTCTCCCGTAGGGGCGGGTTTTTTCTTCGTGGGTAAGAGGGATTCTTCACTTCGGCCGTGCATCGATTTCCGTGGTCTTAACGACATAACCATTAAAGATAAGTCTCCCATTCCTCTTATCGATTCCTTATTTGAGCCCCTGTGTCATGCTAAGATCTTCTCCAAACTTTGTTCTTAGAAACGCGTATCATCTCATCCGGATCAGAGAGGGAGATGAATGGAAAACTGCCTTTAACACACCCATGGGACATTTTGAGTATTTGGTGATGCCTT